ATTTTAGGAACACATACATCTCTAAAAGTCACCGATTTTTAAGAGTTTCATCACTGCTGAAAAGTCAAAGTCCAAAATCTTCTCTGAGACTTAAGGCAAACTCTCAGTTGTGAACCTCTATGAAAAATCAAAACGAAAGTTAAATACTACCGCCATACAATGGTGTAGGGTAAACATTCCCATTTCAAAAAGAAAGAACAGGAAAATAGAAAGAAATCAGACCAAAGTAAGATCCAAAACCCAGCATGGCAAACATTAAATCTGATAGTTTTGTGTCTAGTGCCTAGGGCAAGTTGTGGCAAGATGTGAACTCCAAATGGCTTGGGCAGCCTTGCCCTATATGCAAAAGTAATGGTCTCTGTCTTAAGCTGGCACCACTCACTGCCTGTGGCCTTCCTCAGATGCTCCATATTCCTGGATCTCCAACTTCCTAGGGTCTCTGCTGCACTTTTGACTTCCTTTTCCCAGCTTCGTGGAGTTCCCTCACAGGGGCACACTATCTGGCCTCCAAGGTCTTCTTCTGAAATCTGGGTGGAAGCCTTCCTCATTCCAAAATTCTTGCACTCTGCATACATGTAAAACCAGCACCACATGAATGATGCCATGGTCTGGTACCAGCTCAAGCAGCATGTAGGCCCCCTTGATTTATGGCTGCAGAGACCTCCTGGTGCCTGCATAGCTGAGCACTGTGAACTGAATCCCAAGGAACCAATTCCTGAGGTGGTCCTTCTCAAGCAGGGTGCCCTGAGGCCGTGTTCTGTAAAGCAAAGTCTTCCACTTTTGCAGTGTGAATGGTGAAGTCTTCCTGTTTCCGAGGATGCACTCAAGGTACCCTTGCTATTGTCCTGACTGAAAGCACTTAGATTCTTTTTAATATTTTCAGCCACCAAACTCCCCTCAGTCAAAACTTTACAGGCTTTTAACTCTACAGAACCATACTTTCTGGTGAAACTTAAAACTTTTACAATCACTCAGCTGTGCTTTCCAGTCTTATCAGTATAAAGCTGGCTAAAAACCCCCAGCAGTACCCATGTCACAACCTCAATACTGGGATGCCTTGCAATTCCCTCCACCAGATTAATTAGTCTCTTGCCCTTCATCTCTGTCTAACTCAAAATCTCAGGACATAAGCTAACTCATAATCTCAGGACATAAATAAATTTTCGATCCAGAGTCCAACTGTCAATGGAGTCCTTGCTTCAACTGAAACTTCCAGAGGCTGGAAGTCTTTTTTCTGACTTTTTAAATCAGCATTCTGGTCTTCTGAGCTCCAAACAGTATCACACATCAAACTCACCTTACAGCATTCTATGGCCGCTTCTCCAGCTAACATCTCTCAGCATTTCCAAACTCTTCCCTGAACTAGTTCTAAGGGCTTCTAAGTCACTTAGTCAAGTATAGTCCCAGCAATAACTCCACTCCTGGTACCAAAATCTGTCCTAGTCACTTTCCATGTCACTGGGACAAAATATCCAACACTTACAACTCAAAAGAGTAAAAGTTTATTTTGGTCAAATAGTCAGTCTGTAGCAAGGTTACTCCTTGCTGTTAGGAGGTGGGATCTGGTCAGAGAAGGCAGATGACTGGGGCATGACCCAGAAGGAAGTATCTGTCTCCCTGGCTCCTCCTTTGGCTCTCCAGATGCCATGAGGTGAGCAGCTGTGGTGTGTGGCAAGCCCTTCCACTGTGCCCCATCTACCCGGGAACCTGCCAACAATGCATTAAAACCTCTAAGAAATGAGAACCAAAATAAACCTCTCCTCTTTTAACTTATTGGTGTCTGGTACTGAGTTCCATTGATAAGAAAATGACTAAGACATATATATTCTCAAAGTATGCCATGGAAATTGACCTACAAAAAAATTAAATTAGAAATTGACCTATAGGTGAGCTTCCTCAACGTTTGTGGGTAATTAGCTCTACCTTCCTGAAGGTCCCTTTGAATCAGGTCTTCTTCCAGATAGCAACCATTTAGCAGTCTCTCATTGCTTCTCCTTGGGCAGACATGGACATGAAATAGTCATTCTGATATGGTTCATTCTGCCTCCTTACAAAGTGGCAACTATTGAAAATTTAAGGATTTAGGTACTTGTGAAGTTATTAACATCAAAGCCATCCCTAATGGAACTGTTAGGGGGAAAAAAAGATCTACTTGAGGCAAATGGGATCATCCAGTATAAATAAGCTGCTGACTTGATTTGCTGTGAAGTTAAAACTATTCAATTACAGATATGATGGCATAATTTTGACTATACCTGCTTCTCAGTTATAGCTGCAGAGTTTCCTAGCCATAGACAGATAAACCAGTCCTAGAATGTGAATTTCTTATTCGTTCTATCTCTTTGCTCTCTGCACTTTTGTTTAGGTAGGATTAGGAGAGGGTGTCACCGTCCTTTATATATGTATGTTTAATATGACTCCAAAGAAATAATTCTAGAAGTTCTTGTGTCGACTGTCTGCTTCTTTAAATTTTGGGATGTTTTTAGGTTATAATAGCTCCACCACTTCTTAGTAATGTGATACTAGCCACATTACCAACCTCTCTCTTTCAATTCTTTAAAATTAAAAAAAAAAATTAGATTGCATTCAATCAAGCTGTTGTATGCAGGATTAAATGAGTAAATACACAAAATAGGCTTGGCCCAGTAGCTGACACCAAGCAAACACTAAATAAAGATTATTACTGCTATCAGTTACTACAGGGTAAGGGGTGCCAGTTTCACCACAAAGTATCATCATCATCACAGAAACACAAACATACTTAGAGACTTTCAGGGTTGATAGGAAGAGTCTGTAAGTCCCTCGTTTAATAACAGTTATCATGTATTGATCACTTACTACCTGCCAAGCAGGCACTGGGCTATGCACATTATGTACATAATCTCATTCATTTTAACTATGATACTGCAAATAATTAAATTTACTACAGAGGAATTAAGCAGTTTGGCAAGGCACAAGCTTTAGAAGTAACTGAGCTTGGATTTTTTAAACTGCTTGCAAATACATTTCTTATGCACTTAATTTAACTAAGCAACAATGCTTCTCATGCTTTTATATCTAACATTTTCCAGTTTTTACAGGTACCACAACTATTAAATGAGAAGTTATTTTAGTCTTGCTAACACTCTGGATTTTATGAACCAATACAATTGGGGGAAAAAGGGAGGAGTTGATATTTTTAAATTGAATGTAGTTTTAGGGGAAAAAACTATATCACTGTTGATATTTTTCTTTTGCTAAGGATTGATACAAATTTCAGATGAACTAAAACACAGGCCCAAGAGGGTAGATTTTCTGACTCCTTGACAAAATCGTTTTTTTCATTTCTTTTAAAAAATGTTTACTTGATAAAAATTGTATGGAGATACTCTTTGATGGTGTTATGTTCCAAGAAACTCAGCATAAGTTGAAAGTATTATACATAAAAATACATTTCATGTGCTTGACCTACAGAATAACCTAACTTATCAATATGGTACACTGTAGAGTAAGGATGCTTCACCTCATGATTGCACGGCTCTCTGGGAGCTGTGGCTTGGTGCCTCTGCTGAACATAACAAGGACCATAACATAACAAGCTTACCATACATTGCTAGCCCTGAAAAGGACCAAAATTCAAAGCACAATTTCTACGCAATGTGTACTGTTTTCACACCATCCTAAACTTGAAAAACTGCAAACTGAACCATCACAAATCAGGGACCAGCTGTGTATTTACACAGTACAGCATGGTGGTCCAAACTACGTATACATCATGGAAGGCTAAACAAGCTAATTAAAATGTGCAGTCCTTCCCATATTTATTTATTTATTTATTTATTTTGGTGAGATACCAATATGTTCAACAATCAATACAAATCAGAATAGTATTATGAGGGCTATTACTCCTTAAAAATTACTTAATGTAGTTCTCATCCTTTTGTTCTTTATTTGTTCCACTCTCAATAATCCCACACAATGTATTGATTTCTCAAATAATTTTATTTTAAGATGGACATTCAAATACTATGAAAAAAAAAAAAACAAAAAATACTATGTTTCATTGTGATTTATCTATGTATATGTCTGAGTAGACAGTATGCCAGCTCCTGGAGAGAAAAGGTCTTTTCTATATATGTGTGATACACAATGCGTGGTGGACAGTATGAACTAAAGTTGTTGAATGAAGGAGTAGTATTTAAATATTTAAACAAGCGCACCAAAATTTACAATATCCTATATATTTCATATTCATCCATAATGTTACATATCCATGTATATGACATGCATAGTTCTAGATAGTTCATTATTATACTTAAGATATTAAAAAGACATATTTTTAACAGTATAAAATTACACCTAGACATTTTTTCATAGCATGGTTGTAAACTTGAGTTTCTACACATGTCCCCAAACTCTGTTTAATAAGGCCATTTGCCACAAAATAATTACAAGACCAAGGAACACTGCATAACGGGAAAGTTTGGAGATTTAAGGCAGGCATAGAAATCTGCATTTGGATTGTCCAGCACTACCTGAGTGACTGGGTGATTTTTTGTGAACCTGAGTTTTCTGTGATGTGGAGATTTTTAGAACTGTGCTTAGGGAATTAGTATAAAGACGAGGTTATTATTATTATTATTAGTAGTAGTAGTACCAGGAATCGAACTCAGGACCTTGCGCTTGCCAGGCAGGCGCTTATGCCACTGAGCTAAATCCCCAGCCCAAGCCCAGCTTAATACACGTTAAGGCCTGACAATGACAAGGCTGATGAATGTTGGCAGTCACTTGATCTTTCTATATTTTCTTCCTCAGTTGTAAACTAAATAAAGGCGTTTAATATGTTTTTTTTTTATCCATTATGAGGTTTTCTTGGTTTTTGTTTTGTTTTGCTTTCTTCATTTCAGAGTCTAATTAAGGCACTACGACAAAATTCACCTTCCTAAATCAGAAGCTCTGCTAAACCCGCAGGAAGCCCTGGGAGGACCTCCAGCATCCCAGCATCCTTCGCGCTGGGCCCGTAGCCCTGCCCCTAGTCTCTATGGTAGCGCCTGTGTCGCGAGCGGCGGTGGCGGCGGCCGTTGCGGACGAGGGAGGCTTCCAACTTACGCCGTGTCCTGCTCCGTGAGGTCGTGGGCTTTGCAGGGCAGCCATGTCAGAGAAAAAGCAGCCGGTAGATCTGGGGCTCCTAGAGGAGGACGACGAGTTCGAGGAGTTCCCAGCCGAAGGTAACCGGACGGTGACTCAGGCCTCCAGGGGAGGCGGCGCGGCCGCTCGGGCCTGCGCGGGGCCGGGTCCCCCGGAAGTGTGCG